TTAGGTTTCTAATAACGACTTAATTAAAGATATTTAATTTTCTAATTCTTATAATAATTTAATAAGAACGTTCTTCTCTACGCCGACGGCTTTTAGAATTATATTGATCTATTCTTTTATTAATAAATCTATATTTTTATATAGAGTACTATTATTACTAAAACGATATTTAGTTTTTAAATATTTAAAATATCTATCTTCTTTTTAAATTTTATTTATTAATAACTTAGAATATTTATATTCTCATATATAGAAATTTTCGATAGTAATATTATTATTTCTTTTAGTAGAGAAAGAATTATATTAATTATTTAAGAGTATAGAATTTTTATAACTATTATTAATTTTATTAATCTCTTTCTTACTTTTTAAATCTAACGCGTTATTAATAGCCCGAAGATTTATATTTAATACTTATAAGAAAATAATTAATTTTCGAAAAGTACTAAAAGGCTATTCTAAAATTCGATATCTTAGATATATAAAGATTAATTATTTTAAATTAAATATCTTATAGATATTAGTAAATTCTAAAAGAGTAATAGCTATAGAGAATTATATATAGAAATTCTTAAACGATTTCTTCTTATCTATTACTTTTATATTAAATTTAAAATTAAATATCTTAATATTTAATTTAATAATCTTATTATATATTTCGAATATATTATCTAATTTATTAATTATTTCTTAGATAATTTAGTATAAGTCTAAGATATCTTTATCTACTCTTATTTTAATAATATTATATATAGTAGATTTATAATAATTTCGTATATAATCGATTTTTTTAAATTTAATAGAGAAGATTATAGCACTTTATTTAAACTTCGCTTTAAGATATTAATATTAGCTATCTCACTTATCTTAATCATTAATATTATAAAAATTCGAGACGTCAAGGTATCGTTTATTTAATTCTATACCCTCTACGTAATTTATAATAGAGGTATAGCGTAAGTTTCGATAGAGGCTATTAATAGAGATACTCGGCTAATAAGATATAATCTCTATATCTTTCTTATCGAAGTTTTCTAAATTAGCTAATATAAAAGATTATTACTTCTTTAACTATTACTCTTTACATCTTAAGTCTTACTTAAATTTCTTATTTTCTTTAATAAATTCTATAGTATTAATACGATATCTATTATATAAACCTCGAAGTTTATTATTAATTTCTCGCTTATAGAATAATTAATTATTACTATTACTTAGCTAGATAATAATTATTAATATCTTTATCTTAGCTTAAGCGATATTATAGTTAAGTTCTTTATTTTATTATTAAAGTATCTTAATATTATAATTAGTAGTTCGAAAGCTTTCTATTAATATCTTTAATTTATTATATTAAATATTAGAAGTTTTAATAGCACTTTTTATAAAATCCTGCGAGTTAATAATAAAGGCAAAGATTATAATTAACTCTTCTTCGATAATATTCGTAAATTACACTTTAATATAACTTAAATTAAGTTTAATAGTATATCTTCTAATAATAGAATACTTTCTCTTACATTATACGAATAATCTAGCTTTACTAATATTTAGAACCTTCTTATTAAAATTCTTAAGTTCTTCTAAACGATATTATATTTATAATTTACTTATAATAATTTAACTTTAAATATTATCTAGATTTAGAATTAAGGAGTTTATAGCTAATATTAAGCTAATAGAAGTACGGAGGAGGTTTAATCTAGAGTCTATTCCTTTTAATATATTAAAGATATTTATTTTCTTTAAATTCTTATTTAATCTAGCTAGATTAGCCTTTATATAAATAAAAAACTTTCTTTTAAATAATCTTTCGAGTAGTAAGCTTCTTCAGCTATGACTACTAACTTCTTAATAATATACTCTCTTCTTAATTACACGTTTAGTATAACTAGTAAGTAGGTCGCTATCGCTCCAGAAGAAAGATAGATAGTATTATATCAGGGACTCAATGATGTGTGTGGTAACTCTGTATTGTAGTATGAAGAGAATACTATCTATGTAGGATTATTATAAGTGTGGGTTTCACAGCAAGGTAGAAAGGCCGAAAGGCCTTAATACGCTAAGCCCAATTGGGCCATAACACAAGTAAGGTCAGTAAGTAAGGTCATTGGAACCGTGACATCTAGAGAGAGCTTTGCAGCATCGAGAGTTGCGGGCTGACAGCTTCCTTGCTTTTCAATGTCATCACACTCCCTCTTTGCGCGATGTTAACTAAATCCACTACGTCTCTAGGCTTCTCTATTGTAAGACCGGCTATTAGCACACCTAGAAAGGTGTCACCAACACCATTGACGCTAACAACCTGATCGCTCGACACAGTCTCCACAGGTGGGAATAGCCGCATGTAGACCCCACCAATAACATTATTGCCATCAGTCGAACGAGAAAGAACATAAGGTGCAGCATCAGGCGATGTCAAGCGATCATCTCCCGGCCGAAGCATCTGGGTCATGAGGACTCCATGCTCACCCAGTGTAGTTAAAATGCAAGGAATGAACGGCAATAGACGAATGCTTTGCTGTGGAGCTCCTTGATCGACCAGTAAATTGTTTGTTAAGGACACAAGCTTTTCTCGGGATCCTGAACTCGATAGTCCTATAGAATCAATCATGCGCCACCAGTCTTCTCGATCGAAAAGACCAGCGTCGCACGCAGCATCGTGCATTGAAGACAACTCTAGGGCATTGGGCGTAGCCAGACTGATCGAATGATTCGGCACCGCCGCCAAGCTAGCATCGGTTTGAAGGCTCGCTGGGAACGCCCTCCTTGACTTTGCTGCAGAGACTGGCTCAAATGCAACCTTTGCTCCAGCAGCTTTAGCTGTGTCGAGCCATTTTCGAAGTGTGTTGGAGTGCCAATTTGCATCAACTACAAGCCATTTCGGCTTGCAAGCGTCAAAGTGAGGTTTCCAGAGGGAATCGAAGTCCCCACTTGTATCTTCTAATATGTTCATATCTGCCATTGCTAACAACATGTGCTTCTGCGCATCGTTGACTGCAACATACTGCGCCGTGTGGGATCTTGAACCCCTTGTCTGGACCCCAACGGTCTGTAAACCTCGTTCAGCCAGGAGATTGATGGCGGTAGAACCGGCTACGTCGTCTGCAACGCTACTACAGAGGCGTACCGAAGACCTAAGATAGTGTAGAGCAGTTGCGACATTCTGGCCGACGCCACCTAAGGTTTGAGTGATAGAAGCTGGATTGGACGTATGGAGCTGCGGCTGGCTTGACAAATCCGCAGAAGGCGGCGGAATGTAGTCACAAGATAGGTCTATTGCCAAGCTGCCAGCAACAACGACGTCTACTGTACTGGTGTGCGAGAAGGCTGTGCCCATGAAATTAGAGGAGGCTTTCAGTGACCGTGCAGCTTCTGCAGCAGGAGCATCCACCAATTGGCTAGCCCTCCTGTCAACGACAGGAGGTCTAGTAGTCCTGAAAAGTCCGGCTTTTAGCTGGAGATCTTCGCCGATTCATGGCTATGCTCTCACCAATCCTGTCTTCTCTGTTCCAGGTTCGATAGGTGAACAGCTACTTTTGTGCCACGAGCAACGTTGGCCTCGACCAAAGCCTTGTTCGCTGTGATCGATTCTCCCTTTGTGATTTCGCGAATTCGCTCTAGCACGAAGGGGGTGTTCTCGCTACCCACCGACCCGGATTTTCTTGCATCCCGGAGTGCTTGCGCAATGATGCTACCCATCTCCTTCTTCGCGATCGAATACTCAGCAGGGATTGGATTCGCAAAGAGAAGGCCGGATGTGAGAGACAACCCTTGCTGCGCATCTAGCAAGAGGTTGACTCAGAGCTGCACCTTCAACAACACGCAAGTGCGAGGAACTGGGGGCGGAGGTGTATCCACTCACATATCATAGCCGCGGCTTCTTTTTCGTTCTCGATGGTTAACGGACTTCGACTGCCGCTGTCCCTTGTCCAGAATGCCGGAAAATCAACGTTTCCGTCACGACCATCTGCGAAAGTGGCTACACAGACTCCTTGGGTTTCAAGGTACTCCAGCGTTCGCGGTATGTCAAGAAAGCTTTTACATCCACTGCTTACCACAGCCATCCTGGTACGACCTAGCTCGGTAAGATCTGCACTGATGTCCATGGAGCTTTCACCGCCACTATGCACACCACCAAGGCCCCCCGTGGCGAAGACCTTGATTGCAGCTAAGTGGGCAAGGACCATAGTACCAGATACTGTAGTACCTCCATTAAGCCTTCGGCCTGCGAATCCCTTGCAATTCTACGATAAGTATGGGATCTCACAGATAACTCCACTGAATTGGGAGTGTTACCAATCCACATGTGAATGCAAGATCTCTTCTTGAAATCTTCTTCGTGTCAGGTTTGCCAGCTGACGCCGTAAGTTCAATAAGTTCTTCTGCCTGAAGTCCAACACGAGCAACGCCATTTAGAACGCCAACTGTAGCTGGGATTCCTCCATTGACGCGAACGATCGACTCCAGGTGCGAAGCTAAGGCGACGTTCTCCGGATATGGAAAGCCTGCTCGTTGAGTTAGGTCTTGCGTGGAACAGCTTTATGTCTAGATTATCCACCGTGCGTGTAGATAGTGGTCTCGAGAGCCACCACCGGTTTCTGGGTTTCGATGGCTTCTCTGACTTCCTCGGAAACCTTGATGAAAGGATTCTCTTGAGGGACACTACAACGAGCATGACCTCGATTTTGAAATACTACGTTTGTGCTCACAGAAGAGATCCCCGGATGACAGCGAGGGACAGAAGAAAGGACGGTCGCCGTTCGAAATGGAAAGTTTCGAGCCATGAGCTCGTCTGCTTATTAGGCAAGGTTGTCAAAGCTTTCTCTTTGCAGGTCTGGGAAACTTTTATCGAGTTGGTCGGCGTTTCCCAAACTCCGATCTGTAGGGCTGAATGCTACCACCAAGGACCGCAAAAAGGACACGACTGAGCTCCATCAACGTCCATCTCAAGTCCCGAGCGCCGTCCCCGAGCGAATGGGTCTGGAGAGTATTCGATCATGAGATCTTTGACCCTCTTTGCAGCTTGCCTGTGCTCCATATCTACCACTACTGCAGCAGATGCGAATCTTTCCACACCTCTCTCCTCGCATCAGATCCTCCCGGATAACTTCAAGCCTCCACAGGTCTTTAAAAATGCTAATTTACTGCGAAACATCAATCTCGAAAAGGGCTACGTGAGGGAGACGATCAATGTTGTCATTGAGAATATAGACGCAAAAGAGCAGGACACATACTACATACCTTTCAAAGCAGAAGCAATTGGCAATGTTGGAGGGCTCGAGGTCAGGGACAAGAAGGATCCCGAGAAGGCTGCTTTCCACAGTGAGGTCGTAGAATATGATCCATATAGGTGAGAAGCTTGTTATGCAGCTAGTTCTCCCCAATTGAGGCTCATGCTGGCTGTCTAGTCCAACCCAATTCTATCGCGTCACTTTGTCTAGTCCTCTGGCGCCATCTACCCAACAGACTCTTTCCATAAGCTACCACGTTCTCTCCGCCCTCGCCCCTCTTCCAGCCACCATCAACCAGCAAGACAAACAATACCTCTATTATACCTTTTCAACCTACTGGCCCTCTGCCTATCTGACCGAGAAGCAAAAGACGAAGATCAAGTTTTCCACAGCTGATATTCCAGACTACACCGCTGAGCCTTTGCGCGAGGGGAAGACCTTCACCTATGGGCCGTTTGAACAGACTCCAGCTGGCGTGGAGCAAGAAGCCAGCGTGCGGTATGAGTTTACAAGACCCATCACTCACGCTACGCTTCTCGAGCGAGACGTTGAAATCAGTCAATGGGGTGGAAATCTAGCGACGGAGGAGCGGTATTGGCTCACGAACAAGGGCGCTCATCTTGCCGGGCACTTCTCTAGAGTGGAATGGGCACGCACGCAGCATTATAACCCACCCACAAGCGCATTGAGAATGCTCACACTCCCACTGCAAGTGGGAAGCTTGAACCCTTACTTTACCGATGACATTGGAAATGTCTCGACAAGCCGCTTCAGGAGCAATATTCGTGAGGCGAACCTCGAGCTTAAACCGCGATACCCGGTGTTTGGAGGGTGGAAATACAGCTTCAAGGTCGGCTGGGATGCCAGTCTGGGAAGCTTCTTGAGGAAATTAAAGAAAGGCGACGGTTATGTGCTCAGAGTTCCCTTCTTGGAAGGTCCAAAAATGGGCGAGGGAGTATCATACGAAAAGGTTGATCTGCGAGTCATTTTACCTGAGGGGGCTACGTAAGTATTCATGGCTTTCCCCGCGTCATTATGGTATTGATATCTGTCCCAGAAACGTACTATACGAGAGCCCAATTCCCGTTGTGGCCAGCGAGATTTCGTCTCACAAGACTTTCATGGACACACTAGGCCGGACAACGCTAAAGCTGACGGCTATGAATGTGGTTGACGAGGCTCGAGAGAAGCATGTGATTGTCACATACGACTACCCTTTCATCGCGGCATATCGAAAGCCGTTTACCATATTCGCTGGTATCATGACAGTGTTCGCCACAGCTTGGGGGATAGGGAGGTTGGATGTTAGCATAGCACGGCCTTAGTGAGGGTTTCATTGTATAGTACTAGTACAAGTAGACTGTGTAAGAATGGTAGATCAAACATATCAGCAATACAATTCTATGCAAATTTGTCCCCTTATATTGAATCAAATGAAGTCAAGCCAAACCCACGTGCTACATGTGGGTCATCTCTGATTGGTCAATGGCAATTGTCTCCGCACAATGCTCGAGTGAATTGATTGCTTGTTTGCTTGCTTGCTTTTTCCTTCCTGTCAATCGTTCGCAGAGCTAGCTCCCATCCTTACCCCTCAGACCATCCTCCTATTCTCACTTCTTCTCTACATTATCTCATTACAAGCGTCTCCATCCACGCCTCCTTTTTAGCGGAAAAGCCTTCGGACCCTCGGGCGGAAACTATGCAGTATGTACTGCCCCGCCTTTAAGCAAAACCATACTAACGACCACCACGTAGCTTTGGCCAGCAACTCCGGACGTCGCTATTGAAAGACTACTTCTACTACTACATAGCCTATGATGACCTCAAAGACGCTCTCAAGACCCCTTATCAAGACGACCCTAGCCCGCAAAATCCCAACCCAAAGCGGAGACCCTGGACTGAAGATGACGAGAAATCCTTCGTTGCAGAGTTGGAAGGGGAGCTCGAGAAAGTCTTCACCTTTCAGCGGGTCAAGTCCGGAGAGATAGTGAGACGGATCAAGGCCAGCGAGAAAGAAGTCAATGATGTGATTGGGCGCTTGGACAAGAGGGGGCCGAGGGCTACACAGAATGGAAATGCTGGCCATGCGGAAGAGGAGGATGTACCTACCGAGGACGACTTCATGCTACTCGAAGAGGATTTGAGTGATATCATTGCCGATGTGCATGATCTGGCTAAGTTCACGCAACTGAACTATACTGGGTTTCAAAAAATCATTAAAAAGCATGATGTGAGTCCCCAGCATCAGGGGACTTGAGTTCCAGGGCATGGAATGGGCCATGATAACAGAGACCAGAAACAAACAAAGTGGCATCTCAAGCCAGTCTTCGCTGCACGGCTGAAAGCCAAACCCTTTTTTAAAGACAATTACGATGCGTTCATCGTCAAGCTCTCGAAGCTCTACGATCTTGTACGAACGAGGGGAGACCCTATCAAAGGGGACAGTGCAGCGGGAGGAGGCCAACAAAATTTCGTCCGGCAAACGACAAAATACTGGGTGCACCCAGATAACATTACAGAGTTGAAGCTCATCATATTGAAGCATCTTCCAGTGCTAGTCTTCAATCCGAATAAAGAGTTCGAGGCCAAAGACTCGGCGATCTCATCAATCTACTACGACAATCCAGAGACATGGGAGCTGTACACCGGGCGTCTGAAGAAGACAGAAGGTGCAGAAGCGATCCGGCTACGATGGTATGGCGGCATGGAAATAGAGACAATCTTCGTGGAGCGAAAAACTCACAGAGAAGACTGGACTGGAGAGAAGTCAGTCAAAGCACGATTTTCGCTCAAGGAGAAGAACGTAAACGCCTTCCTAAGTGGCAAGATGAAGGTGGAAAGTATCTTTGAAAAAGCAAGAAAAGAAGGCAAGAAGAGCGAGAAGGAAATCTCGGACTTGGGACAGCTGGCCCGAGAGATACAGTATCGAGTCATCACTAGGCGACTTGTGCCAGTCACAAGATCTTTCTACAACCGCACTGCTTTCCAACTCCCAGGCGATGCCAGAGTCCGCATATCCCTGGACACGGAGCTGACCATGACCCGTGAAGATAATCTTGATGGAAAACAACGAGCCGGCAAGAATTGGCGGAGGATGGACATTGGTGTCGACTTCCCGTTTTCGCAGCTGCCGCCTGAGGACGTCGAACGCTTTCCATATGCTGTACTTGAGGTCAAGCTCCAGACACAAGCGGGTCAAGATCCACCAGAATGGGTGCGAGAGCTGATAGGCAGTCATATCGTCGAAGCCGTCCCCAAGTTCAGCAAATTCATTCACGGCACCGCAACCATGTTCCCCACGCGAATAAACCTCCTACCATTCTGGATGCCACAAATGGATGTTGACATCCGGAAACCCGTTACCCACGGCTTCGGCATCGAACGACCAGCTCAATCAGCGAATTGCTCTACCAGCGAAGATATCGACGACGATACAGAAGACGACGACGAGACGGAAGGAGCTTCAGAAGAACAGCGGACAGACTCCCAAAACAGCCCCACTCTCCGAGACTCTGAATCGGCCGACAGTGAACAAGGCATCCGCCGCCTCCGCCTGGCGCGCGACGCTATGGAGCACTATGCCATGGAACAGCACTCCGCGGATCCAAATGCCCTCGACATCGAAGAACGTATCTCCGCCGCCCCGCTAGCCCATAACCCTGACGACTACCCCATCTACGACTCCGAAGACGAAGATATGGATGACATGGAAGAAGCAAAACAGTTAGGTGGCTGGCACTATCGCGGAAAAGTCATAACGCAACACATCGCAATGGTCGGCTCCTACATTGCTGCAGCTTTTTCCAAGATCATACCCGCACCCAAGCCGACTCCCATCCCGGGCTCCGCTTTGACTGCTCTCGGAGACGTGCCGCCTAGCCACGTCGAAGCGCGCAGATTCAAAGCACCGCGCGGCAAACGCATCCATGTTCCCGTGAGGGTTGAGCCCAAAGTCTACTTTGCGGCTGAGCGTACCTTCCTCTCTTGGCTAGAATTCAGTATCATACTCGGCTCCATTGCCGCAACTCTTCTCAACTTCGGCGACTCAGTATCCCTAGCCAGTGCATGGGCCTTTACGATTGTGGCTTGTATCGCTTTGTTATACAGCATGGGGCTTTACCTCTGGCGTGTACAGATGATTAGAGGACGGAGAGCTGTCAGATATCATGATAAGTGGGGCCCCAGCTTCTTGTGTCTGGGCCTGGCCGCAGCGGTGGCCATAAGTTTTGGGATCCGGCTGAGTCAGTAATGACGGATGTGGGGATGAGGGCCGAGACGTCGTTTTGGGTCTTGGATATCGGAAGGATCGGACAAGGGCAAAAGTGCGTAGGAGTGTTGCTCTGTCTATATCAGTAGAGAATGGCGTAATGCATATATCCGTCGTTATGGGTATCTCAAGCCTCGACCATAATCATGCCCCAACAACATTCAAAATTCCACCCTTCCGAGGCCCCTCTCCTCCACAGCCGACTGAACCCCCTCCTGCACCCTCCTCACAGCTTCTTTCCAAACCTTGTCCCCTTCCACCTTCCCACTACCATCGCCCACACCCTCATCAACGATCCACCCCAACCACCTCCCCACACTGACCGCTTTTTCCATATCCCCTTCCTCCCCGATCACTTTCTCTAGATACTTAATCAATGCATCAACATCCTCAGCGTACGGCCCCTCATCTCTGAACTCTTCGAACCAGGAACTAATCGCTTCGCGTAGCTCGGGCAGCCGAGTAAACTTCTGAGCTGTGAAGGTCGGTTTTGGCGGACAGGGCGGGAGAGTGAGGGTGCGTTGGCCGGTAGGTTGGTGGCCTTTAGCGTTAAGGGGTCGCTTCTTTTTGTTAGAAGTAAACTCGATGCCACGTTTCTTCTGCAAGCTGTCACGGCGGGCTTGCGCGAGGACTTCGCGGCGGATGTCGTCGGGAAGGGCGGAGAGGAAGTCGTCTGGGATATCTGCTGATAGCTCTGCGCCACCTACTTTGGCGGACGAAGCCCCAGGGCGAGCATTGGCGACAAAGTTGGATTGGGTGAGCGTTGAGAAGGCAGAAGATGCTTTGTTGGCGCCGCGCGAGAACAAGCCCGCACGCTTTTTGGTGGGTGTGGTGAGCTTTTTGGGAAGTTTCGTTGTACGATTCTTACGTGGTGACTGTGGTAGTACAGCTTGAGCTGCTTTGGCCAAGGCCTTGTGTGGGGATTTATGGTGGAAAGCTAGGATCTCGGCGCGGACATCGTCAGGGAGTGCGTCTAAGGTTTCAGGGTCGAGTTGGGACTGGGAGGGAAGAGCGTCCGGGGGGAGAGTGGGAGTGCCTGAGCGAGATCTGAGTGCAGGTGTCGCGTCCCGAGACTGGTTTGGTTTCGGAGCAGTCTGCTTGCCTAGTAGCTTCGATCGAATGTCTGAAGGGAGTTCGGCGAGTACCACTGGGTCCACCTGCGTGGGAAGTACGAATTGAGTCCCTAAGGTGTTCAGAGGCATGCGGGGCTTGCCGTTTGGGGTCGGGGACGTCTCCTTTGCAAATGTAGCAGCGGGGTGTGCTGGAGGTTGTACCTTGGGCTTTTGGGGGCTATCTATATCATCCACAATGAAATTGTCTTTAGGTAGCGGACGCTTCGGAGTGTTTGATGCCTTGAATTGAAGCCGTCTCTGGCTACTATCTTGTGGATTGTCGCCTTTGAGCTGTTCCAGTCTTTGCATCTGGATGCCAATGCCTCGCAGTTCTCCTGGTGAGAAACCAAAGCCACGCATGATAGAGATGGCTTCTCGGCCAATTATATCCTTGTCATTCGTAGCGACGCCAAGTATCAGACTCTTGTTGAATGTATCACATTTGCCGTGTCCGAGATGCTTAGGTGGATCCAAAGGAGCATCGGCTGCACGCCTCATGATCTTCATCGTTAGCTGCCGTCCTTTGAGTCCTTCGTTCAGCAAGCGTTTGTGTAGCTCTTCGCATAGGCTGTGGACGAATTCATCCGCCTGCTCTTGAGTGACAAAGCGTATGCCCCAATTGACCTCTGCTGAGACCGACTTGCGGATTACTTGATCTCCAACCTCGGTTCGATCAATGCCGCGAGCGTAGTCCCAAATCTTCTCGCCCGTTTTAGGTCCCAGGGTGGTAACCATCTTCTCTTTTGAGAGCTCTCGTACATCCTTCACAAACCTGACACCGATCTCTTCTAATTTACCACCGATGCTATAAGCAACTCCGGGTAATTCTTGTACTGTGAGGCCGCCTAAGAAGTCCAAGACCTCTTCGGGCTTTATCTGATATTGACCTGCGGGTTTGGCTTTCCGCAGAGCGACTTTCGCCAGCAAGATGTTACCTCCGATACCGACAGAGACTGCGCAACCTGTCCTTTCTTTGATCTCCTCCCGCAGTTTGGTTGCGATCTCGTCGGCTTCGGCCTGCTCACGCCAGATGCTCCCTTCGTGAATACCCTTACCCTCATGACCGCCGGCTGCTATACACCGGGCACTGACATCTACCAGAGCTTCATCTACACTCACGCTTTGCACAACTCCACCAGTATCCATGACAGCGGCATAAAAGTTCCGGCTGGCGTCTTCATAAGCCGGGAAGTCGTACGGTAGAACCTTGAGATCTGGGCACATCTTCTGGGCATGTTTCATCCACATACCGTTCTTGACACCAAATTTTCGTGCCGGGTAATTGCAGCTGGCGATCTCAGAGCCTGAACCACCGCCGTGGGCTATCACAACAGGTCTGTCAACATATTGGGGAAATTGCTTCAATGACACTGCGGCGAAAAAGCTGTCAAAATCCACATGAAGGATGTATCGCCTTGCACCTGGCACACGCTTTTCGCGCGATCTCTGAGACGATGTTTTCTCGGCAGCCATCTTTTGCATCTGTGACTTCAGTTCAGCCTTCCAAGCCGACAGGTGATGCAACCTAGACTCTTCATAGTACTGTTTCAGGAATCCCGGATTTACAACGGTGGACTTCCATACTCTTGGGTCAGCCAATAGCTGGGCGTTGTGTTCCTCGGCGGTAGGCTTCGTAGGTGTGGTACCATTGTCAGCGCTGGGCTTCTGAGGAGGAGAGGCTTCGAAATCTGGCTCATTAGGAGCAGCGTATTCCTCAGTAGCAGGCTCGAGGGTGTGCAGAGTTTCCTCGAAGGTGAATTCCTGGGAAGCAGACCGCCGGTATGAGTTGGTTTCGGGTACGTTGTCTTCGTCCGGCGCGAAATCTTTGGAGCTGAAGTTCTCCACAGCAAACATCTTAGCTTCTGTACGTGGTGATACAACTCCAGTGGACATATCGTTGTCAGCTTTCAATGACAATCTTTCTGGAGTCGTTGGCCCATCGAGCGAGGACTCAGGAGGCGCGCCACGGCTATTTTTGGCCGACCCTTCAGAAGCCAGCTCGCGAGCGTTGTTGTCTTGCGATTCAGTGAAAGTTTGATCCGCGGCTGGGAAATTGCTGGGGTCTAGTTCTTCGCCCTCGACGCCTTCGGGAGAGTCGGAGGAAGGAACACCATCGTCTAGAATATCGTCGGCCGGATCTGCCCTAACGTATCCAGCGTTCCGCCTCTCCCCATATGTATTCCTGGCATCCAAAGGTGATTGGCTGCTGGGGTAATGACGTTCTGGTCCACGTGAGTCGAGCTCATTTGCCACATCCCGCACTTGTCCAGTGTACCAGCTCGTCTCTGTTTGATCTTTGTATCCCCTTTCCAGATTGTTGACTTGACTTATGACATTCCCGTTGTCAAAGCCCAGCACACGCTGCCCAACCCCTTCATCTACAACCCTGTAGGCATCCCACGGAAGTAGTTTGCCAGCTTCGATACTATCCGTGACCCACGCTGGCTTGACGATGCGGTATTTCTGAAATTCGATCTTCTTCTTTGGCGTAAGGGTGCTGGCAATGATATGGGTAACCGTGGTCTTGCCATCGAGGTATTGCATGAACCCTCCACCGTATGTAACAATCAATTTGTGTATGTCGTTGAGCGATGGCTGCGTATAGCCACTGACGTGGGCAACGACACCGCGGAATACGGGAGGGTTGTTGGCCGAGGACGACCTCAAATTTACATCGAGATTTTGGAGCTTGATCTTCTTCCTCCGAAAGTAATCGTTGAAGCCGCCAAATTTGGATGATTCATACTCTTCTCCCCCTTCATCCTCGAACTTGTGCTTCTCTATTCTCTTGCGTACGGCAGATGAATTTGCCTCCAGTCGCGAGCCCATGCTGTGTGGTTGATGCGTCCTTTATCGCTTCTGAGGTACTCGCCTGGGTGAGCGAGGGTAGTGTAGTGTCATCGTCTCCAAGCAAACACATAGTGAGCTCATGGAATAATTATCAGATTTGCAAAAGGCGTGAAAAATGTCCGAGGGCCGTAGAAACGTGACAAAGAGTGACGTGGTCGCGTAAATTGGCTATGCGCTAAGATACACACGCCGATAATGAAAATAAGTGGGTAGAAAAGTTCGAGTTCCTGGAGCTCGAAATTTCTCACGAATTCTTACATTAATTTTTCACGATATCATAGCAAGAATTTCCACCCAGTACAGTACAAGCCAGGATAATACCGTGTCATAACCGATCTAACCAAAAGATCGAGCTTATCATTTAAAAAAAGCCCTTACAGACACCGCTCTTTTCAACTGCCCACAATGTCGAGCTTGCTTCCCGTCCAAGTCTACGGACTCAAGGTCCCAGCTGGCGATGTGATGGTCCCAGCGATCGCTGACTTCCCTGCCACTGTAAGAGTTACAGCTTAAGCTACCTTAGTGTTGATATTTGAGAGTGGATAGCTAAGATGGCAAATGTAGTTTCGTATTACGATGGCTGCCATTGATCCAAGCGCTGCGCCTGCACACACCGGTACTGTCAATGGTGACACGAAACCAAGAGCAACCTTGAAGCTCGTTTATGATGCCAATCCTGGACAGGATTCAGACTCTGATGAAGGGTCAGATGAGGAAGAAGAATACCTAAAAGCGTTATTGGCAGGTCATGAGTCTGACGATGAGGATGAAGACGATGAGTCTTCAAGCGACGACGAGGAGAAGAACGGCGGTCCAAGCGATCCATCGAAGACTAAGAAGGCGCGAAAAGAAGCTGCTCTGCTGCAAATGATGGGCGCTCTAGCGGAAGGTCAAAATGATAGCGAAAACGAGATGGAGTTGGACGAGTCTCCCCTGTTGAATGGGCTGACTAAGAACTCGAAAGCAAACAAGGGAAAGGGCAAGGCCGTGGCTGACGATTCGGAAGACGAGAGCCTTGGGGAGGACGACACCGAGGACTCGGTGGATGGAATGGAGGAGGTGGTTGTGTGTACTTTAGATCCGGAAAAGGTGGGCAACTATTATGAAGTTTTCTTCATGTTATTCGAATTCTGTTTATTGAGTTCTATACTTACCCTGCATGTTTAGAACTGCCAGCAGACTCTTGACTTGACAATTGGGGAAGATCAGACGGCATACTTTAAAGTTTCTGGTACCCACACTATCTACCTAACCGGTAACTACGTCGTCCCAGCCGACAGCGGTCATAACCACGAGCACGAGCTGTACGATGGCGAAGATGAAGAAGATGACTACGACATGTCTCCAGATGAAGATGAGCTTGAGGATGACGAGGAGAGCGACGAGCTTGATACTCTTGAGGACCCTCGAATCACGGAAGTGGCATCTGGAGACGAGGAAGAGCCGCCAAAACTGGTGAAGAAAGATGAAGTTGCCAAGAAGGAGGAGCCGGCAAAGAAAGGCAAGAACAAGCGCGCTCGTGAGGAGTCTGGTGATGAGAAGGAAGCGCCTGTCAGCCTTGACGATATCATGGCCAAATCTCTCAAGCCAGCAGAGGTAACCGCTAATGGAGAGACTAAGCTTAGCAAGAAGCAGCTCAAGAAGTTGAAGAACAATGCAGGTAAGGCAGTCGAGGCAGCTGTTGAGAGTAAAGAGGTAAAAAAGGAGGAGGCCGCAGCCAAAGACAGCCCGCTAAAGGGGGACAAGAAGGTTCAATTTGCGAAGAACCTAGAGCAGGGGCCTGCAAGCTCAGCTGACACGCCTAAAATGGACGGCAAAGACCAGACCAAGAGCGACTCGAAGAAAGAAGAAGGAAAGCCCAAAGCTAGCCTTGGTATGAAGACAGTGCAAGGGGTCAAGATTGATGACAAGAAGTTGGGCACAGGGCCAGCTGCGAAGAAAGGTAGCAAGGTGGGCATGAGGTACATCGGAAAGCTCAATGATGGAAAGGTCTTTGACTGTAAGTGCACTCTACTTACCACGGAAAGAATCGGATGCTAACGGACTACCAGCGAATAAAAAGGGCAAGGTATTCAGCTTCACCATCGGAGATGGCTCAGTCATCAAAGGCTGGGACATTGGTGTTGCCGGTATGCAAGCAGGCGGTGAGCGTCGCATCACCATCCCAGCGGACCTCGCATACGGGAAGAAGGGAGTGGCAGGGATACCGGGTAATGCGGAGCTCACCTTTGATCTGAGGCTGCTGGAGGTAAATTGAGGGACTGAAAAACCTCATCTATAAACCCAGATGGATGTACACTCGCTTCTTCAACCGTCGATACTTTTCTTTGGTCCCAGTGGCCTCGTTTCTAGCGTCTTCCATCCGCGTATGGATCAGTGTGCATTACAGCGATGATATCCGACTTGCATTTGTTACAGGATAGCAGGGATGAGGATTGTCTTCTGCTCGGAAAAGTCTTGTGCTTCTGATTCGAGAGACAGATATCAGGATAGCTTGTGTCAGGTAGCTAGAAGGGCTCATCAAATAGGCGGCTATCATATTCACCTGTAGCCTCCTGAGGGGTGACTCGTCCGAACTTTGTGTAGCACTAGCGAAATGCCAGAACCAGCTCACCGGCCACTCATGAAATATGTAAGTATCCTAACATCCTCCACTGCACCAACAGCTCTCGCCAATACCATCCAAGTCGAATCACGACTTCCACCTGCAGTGGTGCCAGCTGAGGTTTTTGGCATTCAACATGGATCAATCTTATCCCCAGCCATAGCCGAGTGTCTGGAAAACACACAGCTCACATCGAAAGAACACACAACCAAAATTATCCTGGAACGTACAAACGTTCTTACCGTCTGCTCGCCCTGCCGAGTTCCGCTCTTGAACAGTATGATCCCACATCTCAAGAATCCTTCACCAGCTCCAGGGAGATGAAGTCTGCGTTGGTGAAACACCAGGACTTTGATCTCATTCGTAGGCCTGATGTAAGTATGCGGGGTAGACCTTCTGCCAATTCAATGGCACAGACTCCCGAAACTGTCTCCGGCACAGAGCCTTTATCGGAAGGCTGGTCGCCACAGATGACCAGGCTGAGGGAATGGGACATGACACTGACAGTCGATGCCCTGAGACCGCTGAAGTTTTATCACGTCCAGTAGCAGTCCGTGATTTCTTGAAGGTGACATTGATGGTGGTACTCCGGTAACGATTTCGTTGCCCATTATAGTGTTCAACCAAAGGGAGTACATTCTGCTGGTCTCAACGCAATTTAATGAAACCATTGAGATGCTACGAAGGATGTGCTGGGAATGGATCGAGTCTCTTTCTTGCCGCTTGCGGTGTACATGGCAGCCACGTCTCAAGTGTACACCACTCTTCACTTCCAATGAACAGCGTGGGCTAACTCTGCACATGTAGCAATGGCTCGAATATGCAGTGGTCAAATCCACAGACGTCTGCGAATAATCCCCCTACTCTCGAGCCGTGGCCACGACCTAGAGCAAATAGATAGCAACCGATGATCAGCATGCAAGTCTACCGGTTTGAATATTTTGATTGCACCCAGCTTTGCACTAACTGCTCTGCGACGCCTGGTGACGCCAATTGCCGTATAGCCACCTACCGCATCAAGATACTGTACGCTCCCATGCAGTCATACAGTGTGTGCGCACGGACACGTTTCCGTCGCAATGCACGCAGCAATCGACGCCCTGTCATTCGACTCCCGAAAACGCATGGCTACGGTTTCGGCCCATCATCCACGAATCAGATTTGTGCCTTCTCCCCTAAATCAGGACCTTGAGCAGGGTCGCGCTGATACTTGGTACAATGACAGAATTGTGAACAGACTTACCTTGCTTGTAGATGGTGGTACACATGCGCTATAAAGTCCCCGATTGGTATTCGCACAAGGGAGGCTATGTCTAGTCTCCTTCACCGATTGTTTCGCCGTGTATGATTCTTGATGTACGAGATGAACGCGTTCAATGAATCGTTTCCTTCTTCGAACGCTCCCGGCAATCTTGACTGTCCGTCTAACGCAATATGTCTTCAGACAGTTTCTTCTCTCAATATCCCGAATTTGACCACGATCCGACCGCTCCCTTAGTCGCCGAGTTCCAGAGGCTCAGCTTCCAACGAGGTTGGAAGGCGGGTGGGAAGAAGTATCGTCAAAGCCGTCAGAAATGCTTTGCACAGGAATTTGAGCACCACTATGGGCACGCCAGCGACAAGCTCGCTGGCTGGCAGGCCCTCTGTGCAGATCTCTACGTCTCCCCCGCCCCTTCATCTATCAAACAATGTAAAAAGGCGGGTCGTCTATCTCACCATCTAGGCGTGACGTTGCTAACAGCTCGCCGCAACCTCTAGGCACTCTCGAGAATTTCCGTCAACCTCGTCGACCTCATCGATTCTCATCGGACCGGGGAAAAGGTGAAACTTTTCCCTTCCAAAGCTGCGCTCCGGAATTATTCCATAAAGCACAAAAAAATATTCTCAAAGGAGGAGGCAAAGGAGGATGGATTTGTTTGTGCGCTGTTGATCCGGATTTTCTAGACCCTCTTGGCTTTCGGCAGCTGGCAATTACGCCGAGAGCAGGTACCGATACGTAGGCCACTCAGGGTTTGGTCAGTCGGTGTTGGTTGAGGATACTTTGGGCGGGAATGGGTAGACGATTGGGCATATGAGCAGGGCCACGTTAGGGCCGTGAACGACGATGAACTTCGCATGGTGGCGATGGAGAGAGGGAGTGACTGTGATTTCGAGCAACTGATGCTTCGAACGGAGAAGCCAGGATCGAAAAGACACACGTTGCCTCATAGAGATCGCTCTCTGCTTCATTGATACCTAATGCTGCAACGAATCCTGAACTCAGACTCTGTAGCAATCTTCCGCTTCCCGCTTCACAATGTCTGCCTTTTCTCTGCGCCCCAGAGCGTTCGCTAACACGGCGTCTAGCCTGCTCTTCCTGCAGCTGAATGAAAGA